CCCAAACCCAAACCCCAACCCTAGGGAGAGCTATATCTCTTGGAACCAGAACTGTATCTTTTTCTTGACATTTTAAATTTTTACAAATATTATTCTTCTCATAATTTTTTATAATAATAAGCTTTGTTATTCCTTGAATGACCAAAACTATCAAAGCCAAAGAAATATTTTCCTTCAATTAGACTCAGATAACAGCACTTTTATTCTTGTGTTTATGTAAATTATGAATCATATTTCTTATTAACATTTTGATCATTAATAAAAAATAACCATAAATTATATGTTCTAAAATTTATCTTAAGAAGGATGTAGTTACTCCAAATTCCCAAAAATGACTATTAATATTTTTTATGATGAAATAAAAAAAACAAAAGGTTTTTATAAATTATTAGAAAAGATGACCACCATCTATATATAATAGAACTCATATAATATTGGAAAACAGATATTGTTTTTATATATTACTTCCGAAATATCGGGGCATCTTTTTCGCTTGATGCTTGTTAAGAAGCTAATTTCATCTAATATAGTCTTATTTGTTGCTCGATTCTCTCTGAATCTATTTTTTCAAATTGGCCGTTATCTTGCAGTTGAAATCATTTTCTATTGTTCTGAAAGTTTATACATTTAACTTATTCATGAGTTCATTTAAAGAATTTCATACATCTATTTCTACCAGTAGAAGCATTCAGCTGATTTAATTAGCTACAATACCATATATTTAATTTTACTCTAAATCATCTCTTTTGATTCCAATAACATTCTCATTGTCTTAAAACTGTTTAAAACTTTCGCATTTGGATTCATAGTAAATAACAGATTAATTAACCATTTTTTGTTGGTAGTTTATCTTAATGAAGTCCTAAGAGAATTTTTTGTTAATTGCAGATTTTCTGAAGTTCTTTGTATAATTGGACTTTTGTTCTTTTTCTTATTAGCTATCCAACCCTAACTTTATCTTTCTCTATTCTATAGCATCTTCCAAAAGCAACGTCCGTCTAATAAATATTAACAAGTAATGGCTGCTGATGAATAGTCAGTTACATATAGATTCCTTAAAATTAATGCTGAGTAGAATGCTTCCTAGGAACCAATAACAGCATTGACTTCTTAAATGGTAACAATAGATTGCTATTACTGGGGTAGTGACTAAAAATAATAATAATAGATAAACCAAATTTATTCCTTTTTAAGGCAAAATCTTACTTTATAAATTGGCTTACCATTTTTTTCAAATTTAAGAAATTTGTTAAAGAGTATCTAGATGTATGCCAAAATTCTTAAATAAGATTAAAATAATGTCTAATTCAAACTAGAACATCAATAAAGAAATAACAGATAAAGGAGGTCATTAAAATAAATTGTATTACTTCAAAAATTATGTAAATAACATTGAATTTGTAACTATAAATGCTAGAATTTTACTAATTTTGAAGCAACAATCAAAAGGTATCTTTAGTAAGAACAAATTTTAAATTTAAATTCACTGAGCTTAGAGGAATGTAAGAAGGAGATTCGAAAATTAGAATTGAAAAGATTAAGCCTTAAAAGAGAAAGGAAAACAATTCTCAAATAATAACAAGGTATTATTTAAAAATTCCTGCACTTTTTAATCGAATTACTTAAATTGCTTCTTTAGAATTATAAAGAAAAAATATTGTTATCATTTTTGATAACAGTTAAGTGCAATCGTAAAAATATACTAGCTGGAATACACCACAAATTTCATCCGAAATACTCACTATAATTAAATCTTTTAGAAAAATTATGCCACCGTTTAAAGTAAAACCTCAATAAATAAGGTGATTTATTGGCGAGTGGAATTTATAATGAAATTCATAAATATTTGAATTCTATTAATCTTAATCAGTAGACCTTAAGATTCAAGAAAGATCCTAATGTGTAAACTCAGTCGGAATTTGCACTATAAATCAAGCGCATGATTTAGAAATAAATTAACTGAGGCAACAATAAAGTAAGTATATACTGTATACCTTTAATTAACAATATTATAATAACCTAACAAACATTTGATACTAAAAATTCGAAGTTGACCAACAACTATAATTAGATGTAGTACAATATAACAAACAAAAACAAAATTTTAGGCCAAGCTCAAATACAATTCAAATGATACATTTATTAACGCTAGATAAATCAGGTACACATGATTGAGATGTATTAAAAGTACTTTAAGTAAGGAGTTGCATATGGCTGGAATTAAGAAACAAGTGCATTCAGATGCATAAACGACATACTCATAAATCTAATAAGAATCTGAGCTACTCATGTTCATCAGGTGTAAATTCTAATAAGAATAGTAGAAATTTCTAAAATAGCCTAGCCTGAGCAATGATTAATGCTGCCAGAATATACAACTTCTGCTTACTTAGTGCATTAAAAATATGGCGTTGCATTTACCACATATTAAAGGAATGTCATTACTAGTTTGCAATGCTTTATTAATTCTTCAAGAGGGCTAAGGATTAGTGATCTCAACAACTTAACTTAATTAAACAAGTTTGATAGGTGATATTGTAAGTTTTGTGTCATATCATCATAAATTTAAATATTTTATTCAATATTTGTGACACAAGTATCAGAAGATTCAATTCAAAATAGCTTCTCTAATTGTTTAACAACAAAAATGATGGATCAAAAAAAACGCATACAGACATTGATTGAAGAAAATCATGAAATCTCACATAAATTTTATATTCAAAACAGATATTCTCCACAACAATTAATATTTAGGGAGTATCCATCAGAAGCAGCATGGTCAAAAGACAAAGTAAGTTTAAATGCATTTCAATCGATCAGAGAATTTAATATTCTAAAATCGTTTTACAACATGCAACTGTCTGTATATGATTTTATTTGAGGAAGAAGTGTAAATATTACATGCAAACTTATGAAGAATGAAGCATCACAATTTTGGAAATTAGAATGAGTAAATAGTGCTGAGAAAATTTATTGCTAATTAAACAGTGCACCTTTGAACCTCACATTTGCAAATCTTTGGCAAAATAACAAATCCTATTTATTTTATGAAAGCAACATGACGATTATACAATTATTTTAAGTGCATAGAGGCAAATAACTTTTTTCAGTATAAATTGTGGGTGAAATATAACATTCATCAACACAGATTGAGTAGCTCTTTTGAGGGATCACGATTGTAAATGCAATTAACAAAATATCAAAGTAAAAATTCCATTGAAAGTATAGATCGCTAAACCGGCATTGGTGAAGTAAATTAACATGAATGTACTTCAATTTGATTGATTCTGTCAAGCTAACAACTGGTTGTTGAGAGAGCTGAAAGTCGAAAAATTAACACTGCAAATTGCTAAAGCGTTGCAAGCCTCAACAAATTCTGCATATTGGCGCAGCTAGAAGAACATATATTGTTTTTAAGATCATTTCAGATCTCATGCATAAAATGTGTATAATCTCTATACATCTAATCTAATTATTAATATGGTTCAAATATAATGTTAGAGTTAGGTAAGGTCACCCTGTTCTTAGATTGCTCTATGTTAGCATCAGCATCTCTAAAATAGTCTTGAGGTTTCTCCATATTCTAGTTCATGAATCTCTAATAAACAATAGCCATCAGAGAACTGATCTGCTAATTAGTTGTTTTATGGTAATTGTTTTATTATAGATTCGAATCCAGTTGCAGATTCATTCAATTTTCATTTGATTCAAAGCATTTTAAATTGTAACTCTAACAACTGAGAACTCCAATGTATCAACTGACAAGGTAATGTTATGCAAATTACAAAACAGGTACTTCAACTAAATTTCAAGCTTCTAAAAATGCCTTTGTGTCTCCTAATAGTTATGTTTCTAAATGTCCCTTTGTTATTCACTCAAATGGAGTTGAATTACCTTGTTGACATTTCCAAAAATTTTCAATCGAGGTTTGTACCTTGTAGAGAGAATTTTGATTAACTCTAAGGATTAACAACTTCACCACAAGTCTGAAGTACATCCCTTTTGAGAAATTGTTCTCTAAAATTATTTATATTTACTTCTTAAGATGTTGCAAGTTATTCATATATCTTCATTAATCCTGTAAAAAATTAAAGAGTGGTATAATTCAACTTAGAAGAAAACAAAACGTAATATTACACCATCAATTTTTAAATACGATACATTAAGTGATTGGCACAATTTGTTTTATAATATTAACAATATTAAAGTTACTTATCCTCTTTTAAAGGTAATGTAAAGAATCTGTCAAAAGCTTTCATAATGTTCTTGACGCTTTAATAAAACTGTAACCAGTGTCTGAGCATTTGTTTCTACTTGTCAGTATCTTCAATCTTATATAAATTTCACAGCCTGATACTTCACAAGTCGTCCATTTTTAAATCATATTTCTAAAATTCCTCTAACCACTTCTGATTCTTGTTACACAACGTGATATCCTGGAACTCTATTTGCTGATGTCTCGTGCTTTAATAATGTTATAGTAGTTGCACAACTTTTCTCAAATAAAATTGTACCGTTGCTTTTTGAAGTGCTTGTAAATTTCAGACACTACTAACTCCACAAGATATGTAATGGCTATTTAGATTGTTGTATTTAATTCGAAGTATTCATAACATGTATTTGCAAATTATGTTCTACTTCATCATTGCTACTATCAAAATCAAGCTCAATCAACATGCTAAACCATAATTTAATGGTATCTCTGTACTTGCCCTCATGTATATAGCATCACTCCCTTTGCTGTATTGATAGGTATATTAAAATTTGAATTGTAACCAGCAACATCTACTGTAACATATTCTATAGAAGTTGGCTATGTAACACCTTGATACCCTTGTATGGTATAATTGTTTCTTTGAATAATTTTGTTCTAGCAATATAATGATTATGTTACCTACACAATGATCTCAATAACTTGTACAGAAATTTTAATTTCTCTACTTCATTCATTAACACAGTACAGAAGTGTCTCAGTATATCAAGATATTATTTGCACTATCGCATTGGATGGGATCAAAACACTTGACCTTCTTGATCTATATTCTAAGACAAACTCAATAAGAAAGAAATTAGAGAATGCATATCTATGTTGTTGATCATATATAGCGTTATTCTATTAATTACATTATGGCAGTGTACTCAAGATCGGTAATCTTGATAATTTTAAACAACTTCTATATGTTTAGTTTTGTTGCACTTATATTCAAAATAGGCCATACAATTATAACTTTCATCAATTGAGCTGCAATTTGATCAAACTCTTTCTTTTTTATGTTGACTGTATTGGTTTAATTAAGCAATTTTGTTGAGGTTTTTTTTATTTTTGTTCCACTGTTAGTTGGTTATTTTTTTGATATTTAATTATTTTTTTAAATCTAATATTGTTAAGTCTCTTCAGATGATGATGATTTTTGTCTATTTTTTATCAAGTATTAAAGTCTTTAGATCAAAATTAATTGAGTTCCATCCTAATTTTCTTCTTATTCCAGAAGCCTTAAAGCCCTTGATAAGAAAATAATTTAAATATAATAAATTAATAATATTTGAAAAGATAAGTTATTATTTATAGTTGCTATTAATAACACTGTAAATTGATTAATACAAAACTCCTAAATTATTTTTTTTTGATTAATTGGATTGAAATAACGAAGGAGCAATAACATATTATGTTATTTCTATAGAAAATAGAAAGAATCAACATATAAAAATTCAGTTATAATAGTTAATATTACTTCTAAATCATGAACTAGAAAAATAAAACTAAATTCTTAAATTATTCATAAAGATCATTATTTAAAAACAGATTTAATCACACAGTGTGAATATAATAATAATAAATATTTTCCAATAATAACATTATCAAGCTTTATATTTATCAAGATGCGCTTAAGAAATCATTTCTGTCCAATTTTTATTAAGGTTACTTGGTTCTATTTTATCTCTCCATTCTGAGTAAGTAAATTCTTTCTTACAAAATGTTAAAATCTACTCTAATGATGGAGATTTAGTAGGTAATGAGCAAGCTAAAAAAGAAATTGTATCTTTCATTCTTTTTGATATTTTGCCAAACTATTCAATTTCCTTAGTTGGATATTCAGCTAAACCATCAGTGTAAAAAAGAATTACAGTACTTATAATTGAAAAAAATTTATACTTATCATATTCTGTATTTTCTTTTATGAGCTCTAATGTCTTCTAAAATGCAGGCCCATACTTTGTTCCTCCATTTTAATAAGTGATTAATTTTAACTATTCCTCAATTCTTAATTCTTCACATTTTAGAACAACTCTTGCTGTATTATTAAAAATTACTACACTTACTCTAGCATTTCTTTTCCTACTTATTTATTAAAATTATGATTCAACACAATTGATTACACATTTCCAATTTTTCTCCATAGATCCAGAATCATCAAGAATGAAAATGAAGTGAGTTGAACTATGCTACTATTGCATCGGAAGATCATGCTTTTATTAATAACGGATTTCGTATTTTAAATCTTATGATAATTTTTAGCACATCTACTAGCCAATTCCTCCATTCCAAATTTCTATCATCTTTTATTTATTTTGTTATAATTCCTCTGTTTTTAAAATATCCATAAAACTCCAATTCTTATAGTATGCTTTGATTTCTCTCCAGGTTTTAATTTTACAAGTCTCCACTATTTAAATTTCTGCATCATCAACTATTTCTTCACAAGTAAAGAGAGATGGTGAGTTTCGGATTAATATTTTCTTCAATCCTAAATGTATTTAAATTAGATATTTACCTCTTAATTGATGACCATTGGTACATTTATGCTTATGATCCGCATAATAAAACTCACTATCACACTTTCGATTGCAAGTGGGGCAAGATTAGTCACAACCATTCATAGTATTTTTTAACTCTTCAAATTATCCTTTTAATTAAAACTCATCAACTTGAGTTTCTAATTTTTTACTCTCTTCAATTAATATAGAAAGTTATTTTATAAACTCTTCCAAAAATGTATCAAAGAATTATAAAGGAATAGTATCTGTTTGTAAAATTTGTTCAATTGGAAGGTTAAATATTTTAATACTCTCATCATCTAAAAATATTTATTTATGTAAATTAATTTCTACTTTCTCAGCTTTCTAGCCTAAAATATATTTTAATGTTTATTTTAATGATATATTGTGATTTTCATAGCCATAAATAAAATCTGAAGGTTGTTAAATCTAGCTATTTAACAGTATTTTACATCTATCAAATATAATTTTTGCATTATTTTTTATCAAAGTTAAGCTATCTTAAATATAAGGCTATATATCTAATTATATTTTAATGTCATTTTGGAGATTAGATACCAATTATTCAATATATTTTTAAATAAATTCTCTTTAGTCAATAAGGTACCCAATTATCGATGTTTCAAAATGTTCAACTTTAATTATGTTCTCTTTCCTAATAAGTAATTATTAATCTAATTCTTTAATTAATTAAAAAGAGGTTTTTTTATTTTAATTAATTAATTCGCTTACATTATTCTTTTTCTCTTTGTAAAACTACATAATGCAGAGTTTATATATTATTTTTGCCTATTATTCTCCTTAATTCTAGCTTTCTTTTTTTTGGTTTCTTAGTATTGCATTTTCATATTTATTTTACACTATTGCTTTATTATCCAGAAATATTTGTTATTCTTTCTTATACATTTAATATTTATCATAACATATAAATCTCCAAATAATAAAAAATGAATAAAACTAAAGCTTTCTAATGAATAATTGACTGAACTCAATCCCATAGAAAGCTAACTCTTTATTGATTTATTCTAGTTGGTTTTCAACTTTTTTGATTATTCCTTAGAATAATTACCTATTGTACTGTGTCACATTTTCATCCATAGAAATTATTTAGAAAACATTAGAACTTTTTTATTGCAGTGTTGACTAATTAGATTATGTTTCTTAGAATTATTTTTAGATTATATCATAAATATTTGAGCATATTTTTTTCCATCCTTGATTTTCTGTCATTATTTAGTTAAACATTGATGGAAATTCATTTTGAAAATCCTTTTAATCAGTTTTTTAAGAAATGATATAATTAAAAAAATATTAATAATGAGGCTTTTCTTAACTTTATTTATATATGATTGAAACATGCTCTTTCAGGATGAAATATTACGTTTTATCTGCATCCTTCATATATTCTTTATTTTGAATGTTTTTTTTTAATTCTGGAAATTGTTATTATAGATAATTCAAATGAAAAATATTTATTGATTAGGATAAAGCTTGAGATTCTTCTTTTAATGAATTGATTAGATTATCAATATTAAGATTATCTTAGGCTTCAAAAGAGGGTTAATTAATTTAATTAGGTTATGGTAATATTTAATTGCTTTATGGAAACGTATTTTGTAGAGGTTTGTTAACTTGTAAATTGTTGTAAGTTTATTAATAGTGATATGTTAAGTTTAGGCACTTTATAAGTATCTTTGACATAGATTAGGGCTATAGGCACTCTTTTTTTATCGCAAGTATGAATACTCCGAATATTGTGGAGCTTATCTAATTTGTTAATATTGTTTATTTTGCAGATTAGGAGGTTGAGTTTAAATTGGAATTTATTAAGTATTTCCTTAAACGTTCGGATACAGAGAATTTTAGATACTAGATAAATTTTATTTATTTTGTGGAAAAAGAGGGGGTGATAATTTATTTTATTTTTTATTTACTACTGCAGCCGAATTATCTTAGGTGAGTATTTCATTCGAATAATTTGATGCTTAGAATTTGTTTGGAGATTTTGTTACTGCGGTACTTTAGATTTTTTATGGAAAAATAGACGAATCGAATCGAGATTTATAGAAATCATTTGTTGTTGCATGACAAAAAACCTTTTTATTGTAATCTTCATTAAGAATTTCTTTAAATCTTGAGAAATCCTTCTTAATTAAATCAAGTACTGCTTGTAATATTTTTTTATCAAATTATATAGGTAATTAATTCAATGTATTAAATAAGTCTTAAACTTCTAATTATTTTTTTTCATCTCCCTTTTGTTCTTTTACAATTTAAATCAACTTTTATTTTAAACCTTTTTAGAGTATTTTAACAATTTCTTTTTTTTCTATGGTTTCATAGGTAGTTTTCTTTAGTAAGTAATTCAATGGATTGATTAAAGTCGATTTATCCAGATTATTAAGTCTATTTAGAATGTCTTCATCAAAAATTTGTTAAAATTGTTATTTGCTAAATTTATTAAGGGTATTGAATGAATTCTTTTAAAAGTCTTCCAAAAATAGAGAGCAAATTTTCTCCATTTGATTCTCTTTTTGTGTATTTGGATCTTAATTGTTGATTTATTTCACAAAATAATCAATTTAGTCTTCTAAGCTCTCTGCTTTAAACTAGTACTACTTCTTATATTTCAAAAAGCAGTCAAATAATTTTTTTTGAAATTCTATGTGAAGTTTTTCCACTTCCAAGTTTGATGATTCAACTAATTCATTCCAGATTTGTTCATATTTATTATCTCTTATACTTTTATCCTCTTGTAAAGTTATTAATTATTCTGAATCATTTTATATCTCATTGACAGTTTATTAAATTTTTGCAGGAACAAGGCTATATTGAAATTATCTCCTTAATTAGTGAATCTTTTACAAAATTATCAAAGATCCTTCTAAGCCAATTGCTTAATATACTTCTGCAATATTACCTTCAACTTTTTTTCTAATTGCATTTGAAATTATTGAAAATGAATATTCATGTTATAACTCATTTAATATCTCTTCTTTTTAATAAGAACACTATTATTAAAAATCTTGTTAAAAATCCTTTTGTATTTAATTATAGTTTTCTAGTGAATTTTCAAGTTCACTCTTTGCTTAAATCTATTAAATGATGTTATCAAAGCTTAGAAATTTTTCGTTTGCTTTTGTCATTTTTTCTGTTGCAATTTTATTTATGGTTTCATAATCCTTCTATTCTTTTAAATCTGAAAATTCCACTAAATCAGGTAATTTTGAGACTATTTCCCAACACTATTACACTTTTGTAATAAAAGTCTTCCAAGTCAAAATTTCATGGCGGTTCTTTTGTTATCCATTATATTTATTTATAAATTTGTTTATTATGCTTATTCCAAATGATAATGCATTTTTGGAATAATCTTAAAGATTAATTTCTTATTTAATTTCTTAGATTTACTTGGAATTATCAGAATTTTGCCATTCTTTTGAATTTGTTGCCATTCCCAGAATGTAGATATGATCTATGTTTAGATCTAATTGTTGAAGATAACATATTTTATTTCCATCTTCTTCAATTAAATTTTCTTCAGAATTCAATTTTTTTCCTATGTCTTCAATTTATTTTAACAATTTATGTTTTTCGTCATCATTAATTTAACTATTTTGATTAAAACACCAAGAAAATTATTTTAAGAATTGTAATTTCGAATATTTTGCAAGTGTGTAAAAACAGACTTCAATTAAATTATGAAATGTTGAATGAATTTCCCCTTTTACATTAAATATAAGAATATCGCTTATTTAGATTATAAAAAGAGAAATTTTTTTATCAAATTCTGGATCTTTTTAATTAGGACTTTATAATCCTTCTGAATCTAACAATAAAATATAATCAAAGTTTTAAAATTATTCTTTATTCGATATTTTTAACAATTAGAGAAATACTCCTTTTGTGCATCTTCCCATACTAGTTAAAAAATGGCACCCAAAAATTCTGTTTAATAAGGTTGACTTCCCAGAGCTTTACGGCCCCAGTATACTTAAAAACAGTATTTTGTTATCATCCTTATCTAATAACTCTTCTCTTAATTAAATTAAAAAGTTGGAATCTATGGTAAGATCATCTCCATTTAAAAATTCAAAAGGCTCTCCCTTTTTTATCAATTAGCAAACTACTTTAATGGGACTTTATTGAAAAGAGCTATTACCTTTAATTACTTCTCTCCAAAATAGTTCAATACTTATATTTTAAACGCTATATTTTTTTTCTAAAGTTATCAATTTTTCTTCTGATTCACTTCTTTCTTTCTTTTATTCTTCTGTAAAAGAACCTATTTTTTTTCTTAGATCCTCTATCTCTATGTTTAAATTCTTAAGATTTTTTTAGTTGAATTTTTAAATGTGTTCGACAAATCTTAAATAGGTTATGTAATAATTATCTTATTTAAAAATAAGGCTAAATGATTTTATTAATTTTGATTCTTCAAAATTTTGTTTTTATTTTTTATCCTCAATATCTTGAATCTTATTTGTTATTTCTCTTAATTTATCTTGAATGGATTTTATATTGTTTTCAATATCTTTTTTTTCATTTTCTTTTTATTTTATTTTTTCTTTTTAATCACTACTCTTTTCATTTTTTAAGTCATTTATGACATTTTTTTTTTTCTCTAACTCTTATTCTAATGAAAGTATTGTATAATTTAATTCTTATCTTTACTGCTTCTTGGTTTTTATTTCCCATACTAAATTTCGAAATGGAAATGCTTTAATTGAATAAAATCCATATTCGTTTTATTCTAATATTTTTAATTCCTTTGCTAACTCATTGAGAATTTTTTAAGATTCCCTGATTTCCTTATCCTCTACATTAAAACCTTTGCAAAGTTACAAAAATGATTTTTAGATTTATTCTTCTGAAATTTTTTCATTTCGTGTGCCAATTTATTGTAAAATGCATTTTTTTATTTTTGTCCTTTCTTCTATTTCAATGGCCTAATTCACTAATTGATTTAGATTCAAAATTTGACTAGTACAAAAATCTAATTCTTTTTTTTTAAGCTCCTCAATTTTTTGCTGATTCAATTCCTTTTTTTCTGAGTCTCGAATAATTAAAATAATTTTGGGTTGAAAATTTAATTTCATTTTTTCACATAACTCTATTAACTTATCAACATTTTCATCAAATTCATCTTCTGTTTTCATCTATATTATCCATACTTAAAAAAAAGGGAGTAGTTACTCGAATATTTCATCTTCTAACTATCCATGCACATCAGCTATTAAGTAGTTTCTACTTCCATTAAAGGAAAAATCAAATTAGCAATCTACTGAATTGTTATTCATTCTAGAAGAATCAGAAATTTCAAATTTTTGATCTTCTTTGTTATCAATATAAAATAACTTATTAATTAGCTCAGTTTTCCCAAATTGATTAACCGTTTAGGATAAAGAAAAGTTGATTATTGGAAAATCATTTGATAAAAGGTAGTAAATATTTGTGTTGAAAACATAAAAGTCTTTTATTGAAGTTTTATCTTGTTCTAATTAAGGATTTTAATAAAGCAAAGGGACAGGACGATATTTTGAGTGAATTTTTAATAAAATCATTTAAAGTTCTTTATCTGAATTGTTGTAAAGTAATTAAAATAGAGATTTTAGGTTTAAAGTTTCATTCCAATGACTTTTATTTTTTTACATTACATTTTTATTTATTAAGCTTAATAATTCTTCAGGTGATTCTCCCCTTTTAATAATATTAAAATAGAAAGGAAGCAATTTCTTAAAGTTTTCTTCATTAGTTTTATCTCTAAACCATTCATTAACAATAGTCTAAATTTTGTTTATGGATGTTAAAGAAATATTAAATTCTTCCATTTTAATCTTCAATTATTTAGGGTATTGAATAAAAGTTTCCGTTTAATTGACAAATCTAGACATTTTTATTTACCTATTACTTTTTATCGACTACTCCAAATGAAGAAGGTTAATCTTTTATACTTTAGGAAGATTATCTAATTTCCTATCATTATTACCTTTAAAGTTGGTTTAAATAAGGTTTTCTAAATTACTATTTAATTCATTTGTAGCTAAAAAGGATAAAATAGATATTTCTTTAGTCCAATATTTTTATTGACTTTATAAAGATTTAAGTTGGTAAAACATTAGTTCTTTTGAAATTTCTGCAAATTCCTTTAGTTTTTACTCATTTGAGGATTTAAATTTACTTACCTTTTATATAAATTCTTTCTCTTTAACTTTATATTTTTGGTAAACTTCTCTAAAATCTTCATCTTCAAAATTGCAATAATAAAGTATTTTTCTTCTAAGATATCTGTAGATCATGTTTTTCTCTTTGGAATTCAAATTTTTAATAGCACCTTCTAATACTTTTTTCTTCGTTTAAGATTTGCTTAATTTATCTTCAACAATCAAGATGGATTCTTTGATTTTAAAGATTTCAATAAATTAAATCCAAAAATAGAACACAAACTTAAAGTACAAAAAGTCTAAATTTTCATTAAAATTTTCTGTCAAAGAAACATACTCAATCAACTCATCTTTATTGATTATTTTATTCTTCGCACATATTAGATTTGTAATAAACCCTTTTAAATTATCAGCATGAGATCCAAGTTTAAGAGTAAATAATTCAAACAAAAAAAGGATTTGGTTATCTTTACATTTTTAATGTAAACTTTCTTTACCTTATTTAGCTGATATCTCTTTAGATTAGACTTTATGAATGCAATCTAGAAAATTATCTTGAATTTATATATTTTAAGTCATTTATGCAACATAACATTCAAATTTATATATTTAATTTTCTAAAAGAGACCCTACAAATTAATGAATTTATCCTTTTATTTCATTATCACAGTCGAGAAAGAACAAGTTAATAAGCAATTTTAACAAAGATATAAAATTAGGATATCCATTTTATTTTACTAATTCGATTAGATCAAAAATTAAATGAAGATTATCTTTTAATTGTTAAAGAGGAATTAAATAATTCTAAATCGATAGAGGTATCAAATTCTATTCACAATATTGATTATTTTTTAATTCCAAAAGTATTTAATCATATTTTTTTTCCTATAAATTCTTTGAGTACTTTTCTCTTAGATTTTCCTGTGTTTATGCAAATTAAGGGAAGTGTTAATGTATGTATAAGATTATTTCAGTCCTAATTTCATCATCTTATTATTCTAGTAATTGTTTAAGATCATTCTCAATACCTTCATCATTAAATTAGTTGTTCTCAATAATCTCATCTATTTCTTTTTGAATAGACTGTAGGATTTATAATTTATTCATATAATAGAAATAAAAGATAGTTTACCTTTTATATTGTTTAATAATATGTCATAATAATTGATAGAATTTGCAATAATGAAAAACAAATTACATACATCATCATTTGACATTTAATGACTTAAATGTTGGTTGAATCAAAAGCACAAACAAAAAATTTTTTTTGTAATATCATCTTCATATATATATTTAATTGTTTTATGCAGTCCTTCACTAAATGATATATTAGCATAGGTGATATTTTTATAATTTAAATCTTAGATTTTAGGGGGAAGTATATCCTTCATTCATTTTATATAATAGTGTTATTTTAAGTTATTAGATGTAATGGAAAATAAATGTTATAATGAAATTTCATAGAGCAGTCCTATTAAAAACTTATTTATGGATTCTTTTTGACGAACATTGATACAAACTTTCATTTTTTCTGTTTTTTTGGTCATGCTAACTATTAAATAACTATTTATAAAATTTAATAGCATCAAAAAATTGTTAATATTGACTAAGAAAATATTTGCATGCCTTTTTACAGAACACTTTATAAAAAAGACCTATAAGTAGCTAGTAAATTATAATTCAATATTTAAGATTCCAATAAGTTTATCATGAAAAACCTAGAAGATAAAATACCTATTAAATTGCATTACAAAGTGATCTATTGGGTTCGTAATGAAAGAAAGTTTTTACTAAATTATAACTATAATAGTTTTCTTTGGTCGAAAACAAGAAAGTTAAATTAGAATTCTTAAATATATACACTGCAATTACAAGAAAGGTATAAAAAGATTAAAGAAACAATTCTAATATATAAACCCTAAAATCAACAAGAATAATAGTCTTAAATTTTAATGATTGATATAAAGGAATCTACAGTTTTCCCTCCCTTATTATACAATATTATTTTGAACGCTCGTTAATTAGAAAATTTTGCTAATACTATC